ACACACTTAATAATAAAAGATGAGTTGGAGTGGAAGAGACAGTGAATATTAATAATGATGAAATTGATAAGCACAATATGTATGTGAGCAAGATGTGTGTGCGATTATAGACTTATCGATTGGGATAGTCGAGAGAATTGAATGCGAGTCGGATGAGAGTCTGGTAGGAGATCGAAAGGAGGTTGAGCGTTGAGAATTTGAAGATGATGAGTGCTCGAGAATTTAGACTAGCAGACTAAGACTAAGACTAAGACTAAGACTAAGACTAAGACTAAGTGAATTACAATTGGGTTCTTCCTTAAATAGTAGTGCATGTGGTTATTAAATTAAAGTTAAGTTATTAGTTGTAAATTATTATTGAAGTAAATTAACACTACAGTATACAAAAAAGTGTCCAACATCAATTGCTACAACCACACATTAATGAATGAATTAACAGCATGCACAATAAAAGAGAAGAGGACAGCGTGAAGCAAGAACACTCTTAATCTCAGGCCTAAAGTATGACTGGATAATAGAACTGGCTATTGTGATAAAAAAGAGAAATATCACAAAAGAAATAAAGAGTTCAGGAGGTACATCAACAAAATGCTGCAGAGAAAGTAAAACAAGACCAGGTACAATGCCCATCCCATAGATGAGTAGCATACTTCCAAATACTCCAAAGAGTCTCTTCTTTTTTGAGGCATACACACTCTCTCCTGCTATCAATGACTGAGCTTTGAAGTAGCTTCTAGCAAAACAAAAGGTCCATAATGATGTCACAATGATAATTGCAGTTGTAACACATGGAAATAGAACATTAAAGATGATGAGACTGATCGTGCTGTTAGGACGCTGGTAACATAAAAGGAGCTGATCATCATAAACATATTCATTTAATCCATAAAATGGGACAGAGCTCAATACAGCAGCCAGTATCCATATAGCAATGGTGAGGGTCAGTGCTACCCAGGGTCTCATGAACCGCTTGTGAAGATGTGGTTTGACAATAAAGAGAAACCGATCAAAGGATATAGCAGCTAGTGTCATAAATATTATGCGCATGGTATATGAATATAGAAAAGAAGTGAAAGTACATGTTGTTTTTTTTTCCTCATCAGTACTACCAAAGATCCACTCACCAGCAGCGAATGCAATGATAGAGAAAGGAAGGTACAGTAGATTCAATACAAGATGTGCCAGTATGAGAGAAGTGAAGAATATTGTTGATGGTTGCTTCCAGGACTTCCTTTGATAGAGTGTGATAGATAGTACCACACCATTAGCTATCAGAGCTAGTATCATCTCAACAGTAAGAACTGCTGCTACTGCTGGACCACTGAATTCACCAGTAAAAGTAAAGTTGCCTTCCATTTCAGAGACAAGCACCCAAAATGGTCCAAAATTCTCTTTGCAAAAGTATATAAAGCAAGTAAGGACTGTATACAAGACTTATAGCAACAGCTATATCCTTTATAAAGGTACTAAAAGCAGTAGACCAATCTCAAAATAACAATGAAAATGATACAAGGGAACAAGTTACATACAAAGAGGAATTAATAACAAAAATAACAACAATAGATAAAACTCAAAATACTAAAGCAAATGAAACATGTACTACAAATAATTGACATCAGCAAACAGCATGTACACATGAACAGCAAACACAAGTAAAGAGAAGAGGACAGCGTGAGACTAGAACACTCTTGATCTCAGGCCTGAAGTATGACTGAATAATAGGACTGGCTATTGTAACAAAAAATACAATATAGTATGTAACATAAAGCTCATATGGTGGGGAAAAAAGAACTGCAGAAAAAAACCTAAAGCTAAAAATAAACGAGACACTTAAGGTGCGTGGCCTCGCCCCTATAGCTGTTTCATTATCAAAATTAAAAGAACTTTAACATGCAGATTGCATATATAAAACAAGTGTACTCCTGAGGGATAGGAGCTAGCTTGCATAGATCTGCCAAACTACCTGCAGAAGTAGCAGCATGCAAGCTAATCCAGCTACTCCCAATTTGGAGGTGTGGCATGACATCATCAAATATTAATTAATTATTTGATGGCAGCAAGCCCTGCAACAAGAAGGAAGTTTCAGATTTTTCTCTTCTTATAAGTGCTATATGACATTATAATGGCACAAATACTGTTGCCTAGATGTAAACTGAGTGATTTGAGAGAGTTTAGGACCTTTAGACTACCTACAGTTCACTCGGGTTGAAATTCGAGTAGCTATATTTCACCAACAAGAAAGATTTAAAGAGTCCCACACATATTAACACAATAACTAGTCTTGATCTACTGGAAAAGAGTCTCATTTACCTCCAGAGTACTACCGCTATTGCTGGGCATTTTCTCGTGAGATAAAAAGCTTCTACTAGCTAGAGCTGCTCTCTAAACATCTCAAGGCAGTAAAGCAAGACTTTTCCTAACAGAAGAGAAGCTCTCACAGGTTTAGAGTGCACGTTTATAAAGATATACATTCTCAAAGACAAAAGAGAGCACACAGAATGAATGAATGAAACACAGACAGACAAACCGATTCATCACTATAGCTGTAGTGTCCAATATCAATGAATGGCCCAGTACCTAATACAGCAGACAGTATCCATATAGCAATGGTGAGGGCCAGTGCTACCCAGGGTCTCATGAACCGCTTGTAAAGCTGTGGTTTGACAATAAACAGAAACCGATCAAATGATATACATGTAGCAGCTAGTGTCATTGAGATAACAGAACTACTGTACCACAGTGTATAGGCAACAAATGAACAGAAACCTCTCTTCTCCTCATCTGTACTACCAAAGATCCACTCACCAGCAGCTAATGCAATGATAGTGAAAGGAAGGTACAGTAGATTCAATACAAGATGTGCCAGTATGAGAGAAGTGAAGAATATTGTTGATGATTGTTTCCAGGACTTCCTTTCATAAAGTGTGATAGATAGTACCACACCATTAGCTATCAGAGCTAGTATCATCTCAACAGTAAGAACTGCTGCTACTGCAGGACCACTGAACTCACCAGTAAAAGTAGAGTTGCCATCCATTGCCAGCCCAAATTTAATTTTGAGCAACTTAAATGTACATGTAGTTTCCAACCACACTTTATATAAACTATATTAATAGTGCACTAATGGCATTCACTGTCCATTGCTCAATGGACAAAAGAGTGCTTATTAAAAAATTAATAATAATGAAAGTCAAATTGTGATAATTTCTAAAAAATTTACTACATCATACATTTGTCTCCACATTAAGTACAGTATATCAATTAGCAGCTAGTTTGTGTCATTATTGGAGTAGCAAGAGAAGTTGAGAACAAAATTAACAAATATGTAACAGCAGATGTTTACTCATGTACATGTACATGTACAGTGTATATATCATACCGCATTACAATTGACAAAACAGAACACTCAACAAGTGGTTGTAGACGTATCATTATTAAAGAGAGAGAGAGTGTGAGTGTAAAAGTGAAATAGCTTATGCACATGTATACATTATAGCCAGGGATGAACTGCAGTGATTCTCGGGGTAACTATTTTATGATCTTAATAATGATTGCCTGACCATACTAATGATGTGTTCCAACTCCCATTGTCTAAAAAAGTATTCATTGAGATATGAGCCTTCGAAAATACCCACCTGCCAATTTACTTCCTATCAGTGGGTGTGGGTAAATATGGGAATTGATGCACATAACTCCATTCCTTCATAGGGGGAGATGATCCTTCATTCTCATGCCTAGTAATGTACATGTGTAATGGCACTAATTTAAATATTGGGATCATTAGCTCTCATTTTTCTAAGCATGTACATGTAACTACAAGAAAAAGACTCAAAATAACAAACAAGGTATCATGACTTTTTCTTGTAGTTGCATGCTTAGAATAATGAGAGCTAATGATTCCAATCTTAAAATTAGTGCTATTACAATACAAGGCATCAGAATAAAGGATCAATTCCTGTTCCTCTATAAAGGAATGGAGTTATCCTCTTATGATGTCACGTTTAGCCACACCCACCGACAGGAAGTAAATTGGTAGGAAGCAAAAAGTGTATTTTGAAGGCTCATATCTCAGTGAATAATTTTTTATTTAGGCAATGGGAGTTGGAACACATCATTATTATACTCAAGCAATCATAATAAGACCATAAAATAAATATCAAAAAATCACTGCAGTTACACTTTAAGATCAGCAAACAGCATGCACATATGAACAGCAAACACAAGTAAAGAGAAGAGGACAGCGTGAGACTAGAACACTCTTGATCTCAGGCCTGAAGTATGACTGGATAATAGGACTGGCTATTGTCACAAAGAAATAAACAATGTAGACTATCACAAAGAATTCATACGGTAGAAAAATGAAGATCTGCAGAAGGACCCATAAAGCTACAAGTAAATGCGATATCCCATAGATGAGTAGCATGCTTCCAAATACACCAAAGAGTCTCTTCTTTTTTGAGGCATACACACTCTCTCCTGCTATCACTGACTGAGCTTTGAAGTAGCTTCTAGTGAAACAAAAGGTCCAAAGAGAAGTGACAAATATTGTTCCAACAATAAGGAAGATTATAACAAGAATTAGAATAAAGAAAGCAATGTCAACACCAACTATAGTACAAATACCTATATCATTATCATAGCTGTAGTTTCCAATATCAATGAATGGTAAAGCACATAATACAGCAGACAGTATCCATATAGCAATGGTGAGGGTCAGTGCTACACAGGGTCTCATGAACCACTTGTGAAGATGTGGTTTGACAATAAAGAGAAACCGATCAAATGATAGAGCAGCTAGTGTCATTGACATACAAGAAGCTCCAAACCAGAGCATCCAGGCAGCAAAGTCACATGTTCCTGTCTTCTCCTCATCTGTACTACCAAAGATCCACTCACCAGCTGCTAATGCAATGATAGTGAAAGGAAGGTTTAGTAGATTCGATACAAGATGTGCCAGTATGAGAGAAGTGAAGAATATTGTTGATGATTGTTTCCAGGACTTCCTTTGATAGAGTGTGATAGATAGTACCACACCATTAGCTATCAGAGCTAGTATCATCTCAACAGTAAGAACTGCTGCTACTGCTGGACCACTGAACTCACCAGTAAAAGTAAAGTTGCCTTCCATTGCTAAC